GAGAGGCACCTGGGATCATCCACACGAGGGCTGAAATGAGAGGCAGGGTTAAACGAGGAACAGGTGTGGCTCATTAGCGCCACACCACGGGGAACACGGGGGGAAAAGGCAGGTGGGGTGTGACACATGTGAAAGAGCTGGATTTCTTTACTGCTTGGAGATCAGTGTTGTTAGCATGCTGCTGGTCACCTTTAGGCTCCAGATTGCCCAGAGACTGGCTGATCAGTCATACCTTTCAGCTTTCACATGTATACAGTGAAACACAAGACTTTTTCCAGGTTTCACAGTGCAAAAGTGACACTGCGCTAACAATCACTGTACAAAATTGTGCGAGACAACAACACCTGGTTCGCATCCTGATGCTCAGGATTGCGATTAGTCTAATTCCCATTTCTGAGTACAGGCCTAAGGCATCCTCAGACAGCAAAGCTCGATGCTTCAGAGGACACCAGACACCAGCGTACAGATGGGCGTGATTTCACTTTCATATAAATCAAGGCAGAGAATAATTAACCCAGCAAAGCAAACGTATGAACAATTATTATTATTTCCCATTCCCTAGAAGTGTCATTTATTAATCTTAATTTTTTTCACATTGTTAATTTGGGAATTAATTTTGACAGTGATTGGGAAATTATGCTAGCAATTAGACATCTCTTGGGGGAAAATGCAAGTATTTAAAAGTGAAAAGGCAAAGAGAGAAAAGTAAATCAGGTTAGTCTGAATTTAGAATATTATATACCATTACCTAAGTGTCATTAATTTTTCACATTTTACTCAAATTTCCCAGATTATTCTGCTTGGCCGTGTTACTGATGGGATATGAATAGGTGAAAAGTACAAATGTTACCCAGACCATTTCAAAGATAATGCATTTCCTCCTAAAACCTGTCTTTCCTCTCATTTCTTCCTCATCCTGTAAGAGTATGGGAGGGGTGTCTGCTTCAATTTCAACATGATGACAAGGACACCCTGTACTCTGCTTAAATCTGCCGCTAGCCAACCATAGGAAATATCCAGTAATCTTCAACTCAGACTCCTGTCTAGTACGCAATTTCAAAATGCGTAATTTTTCTATTTCTGAGGGCAGTTTCTATGGAGTAATTCCTGAGGTGTTGCATTTCAGAGAAAAATATTAGGCGGAATCCTCTTTATACAGGGATCTGTTGAATTTACAGATACGGTGTTAATGTGAAGATTGCTTTCTGTGCACCTGGGTTCAGACCTGCATACTGTACAAGGTCTCTTATTGCTGCCAAACAGACATACAGAGCATCATCAGTTACCACAGCTTGCTGATAGTTTCTTAAGCAAGTGGAATATTAATATAATCTATAAGGAATTTTATTTTACACAGCTAGTCCTCTGTTAAGGGAAATAACTGTAAGCTGGTGTGTTTGCGCGAGATCAGAACGCTCTGCTTTTAAATCAAGATGATTTGCTTTGCATTGGTGCTTTTCACCTGATCACATCTCATTTTTTTCCCGTAATGAAAATGCACGTTGTTACTGAGGCAGGTGACATCGGCTCTGCCTACATCGAAGAACATCACAGTACGCGAGAACATCGATGGCATCCATCATTTGGGAACTATTGATTGTGAGACGGGGGTGGGGGGGGGGGGGGGGGCGTCTAGCAGTAACAAGAGGATGTAATTTGCATCGGGGGAAAAAAACGCTGCTTTTCAAAGTGCCATTTTACCCAGCAGACGGGTGAAATAGGCCGACGATTGTCACTTGGGGATTGCGCTCTGATGCGGAAGACGCTACTGTAGGTGATTCTTCACGCATACTTAATATTAACCGCACTGTGTTTTGAGGGCCTTTCACATCTCTCTATAGGAGATTATGTAATGTGTCGCTAATATGTAGGCTACATTAAATTCTGAATCCATTCATCACTGCAAATTGCTTGCTTTCTGAACTGAAACTATGTACAGTGAAGCTGAGCGTGATCATAAAAAATAGAAATAATTGCAGGTGAACAATAAAAAACAATTACAAATTTTTGACAATATGAGTCCAATCATACATGTTTCATACGGTTATCGCAAGGTTGACAAAATACTTGCACTGTAAATATTAACTATCAATCGTGCTGTGCTTGTATGTTTTGAATATTGCCATTCCATTTTTCTTTTTCCTTGTTTATGGAGTAAATCTTGAAGCCAGCAGTGTTATGGATACACTTTACCTTGCGGTGAATAATGTGTTCTGTACTTTATGTGAAAGATCAGATCTGCACCTGGTGTTGCTGGAAAGTTCCCAAGTAAAATCCATAGCTACGAATGCTTGAGGTATGGATTTGCTGTCAATGGAGAAAATGTAGAAACGGATCACTGTGTATTAAACAGGTTCAAGACACAATATAATATACAGAATTTCTTACATATGCGTTCAGCACCACTGCACTTATACATTGCATTTTATATGAGCCTATATAAATGCGTTAAAGCAAATTGTTCTCTTTACACTTGATGTGCCTTGAGACAGAGGTGTTCCTTCACCATGAATATGTTTCCCCACCCAAGCACTGGTCATTCCAGAATGTTCTAGTGACAGGATTCTGCAACAATCAGTAAGGGATCTCTTGGCAAGCTTCAGTTAACAGGGGACAGCCTGGTGAACAGCATGGTGCTTCAGATAAACGTACTGCCACCGTCAGAGTTAACGCATGAGCCGCCCTGCACACGGAAGGATTTACAGACCCCCAGGGGAACAGGAGGACACTTCTGGACGCCTGGCAGGTGGTCAGCCAATCCTGATGCTTGCTGAATGACCTTTTAGTGTCACGCTACTTTGAATCATCTCCTAATGTGTGCCAGCCAACTTGCAGATGGTCCTGATGATTGTGGTAAAGACGCGGACATCTAGGAGAGTCTGAAATCTTTGACAAGGAAAGGGAACGAACACGTGAGATATTCCTAAGGAACTGTACAATCCTCATGCACCGTGTAACGTTATCAGTTGACAAACGTTACGAATAGCTGAAATATCAGCACTATACAACCAGCATTCCCTCTCAGCTGATCAAGATCCATGCTCAATAGTTACTTGATGAAAAGCAAGATTTGCAAGTAAAGACATCAGAGATGTCACTAGAGAAAGTTGTTCATTTCCAGCTCGAATTAACACTTGCATTCTAGAATCGCATGTTCTGCAACGCCTCCGTCGCCATGCGCCTGAGTGTCCTGCAGAGCAGATTACTGTTTCTGCAGCTCCACTTCATTCCACAAAACCTAGAGGGGAGCAAATATTCAACTAGGCTATTTACGCCTACACACCTCCCATCTGCGGTTCATTATTTTTCATCATCGGTAAATTCCATAAACCCTAGGCAAAGTTTAATTGCTAGCTGTATAAGTATGGAATACCTTGGAAGGTATAACGCAAAGGAGTAGAATGAACTCGGCTTTACAGTGTCTAATTTGATGCTCTTGACCTGAGCATGAGATTAGATGACATATACCATGTGAAAATAGTCCAGAGCAGGGTTTTTCAGATCATGGTCCTCAAGGTCTGAGCCCTGCTGGTTTTCCAGCCTTCCTTCACGTGTGAGCCAGGTGTGAAACCTCTGGCCAATCAGAATCAGTAACTATTAATCTAAGTACATGGGAGCACTGAAAACAAGGCCTGGATTTGGAATTTAGGTCCAGGTTTGAAGAACCCTGGTAAAGAGGAATCCATGTCCTTTGCGGTGTTTCCACCAATATGGAAGATGGAGATACTTTAGTGGTATCCTTGCAGATTCCACCCCAGTGTCACACCAGAGTTCTGTTTTATTGCTATTTGTTGACACATAAATATATTGGTGCTGGAAGGTTTGTATGCAGGTGTCAGTTTCTCTAGTTTATAGATTCTGAGGAACCGACAGGAGGAGGAACATCTCTGTTATGAACTGCTGGGGTACATATAAACGTCATGTACAATAAGAATAAGGAGACTTATTATCCAGAAGGAAGGAAGTCAGCTCCTTACTCAGGAGATTCCAAAGTTTATAATTCATTGCTCATGATTCATAAGGATTCTAGATGGAAGCCCATCACAGTAGTTGACCATTTTAACCTCAAGCTCATTTCATTCCCTTGTTTTTGTCTTCATAATCCATCCCACCCAACATCGATTTCTACCATAGCAAAATGAAACTTCAGCATAAAATCACGTCTGCTACCAGCTGTTTACCTGTCTGGAAAACTCAGTGAGGGATGGCAGCCCTATAACCACACACCTTATAATTATTCATATTACAACTATGGGGAGATGTGAGCAATGCAGATGTTTACGCTACACTAACCTGGGCGGAGGGGGGGATATATACAGACCGTGTAAATAGGTCTGGTTACAAATTGATGCTGCTGTGGGAAATGGCTTGCAGTTTGTCATAATCATATTCCAGCTAAATAACATTCACTCTGCGTTGACTTAGTTCATTTTAAAAACCACATATTCATTTTAACAGATGTTTGCTTAAATTTGCCATATTATTTTATGTTTTTGCAAGTACAGCTATGCCATCAGCCCTAACTTTTAAAATACATAACTACAAGCAGGTCAACTCCAGCACTGTTTGAAACATTGTTGACAATAACAATATTAACATAAAGAATCTCAAGGCAAAATTCTGCATGTCTAAATCGGGAATCTTCAGCGCTATGTTTTCCTTGTAAGTGAACACTGATGACAGACCTTGTTTATGGTTTTGGTTTGTTTGTATCACCAAAAACTTTCAGTCAGGCGAAAAAGCAGGTGTACATCTAAATGTCATTAACGTCAACGTCAGCAGCCAATGGGCTACGGCCAAAGTCTCTAGAAGCATCTCTGTGGTCTCAAAAAGAGCAAAGTTAAAAATAGTCTTTCTGCGCTATGCAGCAGCTCTGTTTGGGCTGCTCTTCAGCCAAGAAACACACTTTCCTAACTGTCACATCATGGCCCAGTTTCTATACCGTCAGAATACGGTTATAGAAGCCAAGAGCCATGTTACATGAGGGTGACACATCTTAAGGTCACTCAAGCGTCCCTATTACTCATTCATATCCCTGGCAAATTCAGCGTACCCTGATCAATACTAGAGAAAATGCAAACTACCAAGACGTTTCTAATTTGCTACAGCAGAGTTGGACGTGACTTTTTCTCAATAACTGAAATAAAGAAGTAATTCATTTGTGATTTAAGGCAATTCAGGATAGAAGTAGAAATATATGTATCTTTATTGCATAAATACATAGTCAACTAAATACAGTCATTGACCTATTAGGAATCATCCCAATAAGATGACATCTGTAATACCAATGTAACAAAAAAATTATATGCATATGATTTTTTTTGTCAGTTTTGATTTATGCATTTTTTACTGCAGTTTCCCCGTTCGACTACCAATGAAATGACTATTTCGGTATTTCCCTAACGGGTCCTTGGGGACCCCCAGACAGCACATGTTTTTGCTCCCTCCCAGCTCCCTGGCAGACAGTCCACATTTTTACTACCGAGAGCTGGGAGGGAGTAAAAACATGGACTGTCTGGGGTACCTGGACACTGGGTTGGGAAACACTGGTCTATTTGACCATCTACACAAATACATCAACCAGCCAAGTTGCAAAGTGAAAATGTTTCCTCTCATCCTGCCTCTGCATTGAGTCTCAGTCCCAGTCCCAGTCTAACTTGGGATTAAGTTTCCTCTCATCCTGCCTCTACGTTGAGTCTCAGTCCCAGTCCCAGTCTAACTTGGGGTTAAGTTTCCTCTCATCCTGCCTCTACGTTGAGTCTCAGTCCCAGTCCCAGTCTAACTTGGGGTTAATCTCTTAACTGCTGATTCTTCACTTCCTTGCCTGCCTCCCCGTTGACTCTACTGTACTGTGCACCGACTTCACCACTCCACTCGACTAGACACAGGATGGGGGGGTCAATGGGAGGACCGCCCCCCCCCCCCCCAAATGTGATGTGAAACACAGCCCAAGACACCCGGTCTTAAATATTCTATGTGGCGCAGATCATAACATTGGACGGTTGCCTGTGCAGGAGACATAAGCTATTCCACCAGCCCCCCCAGGATAGTCAAAGAGGGGGTGGATTGATGTGAAATGCAGCTCAAGGAGGTCAACTTTACAGGGCCTACATGCTGCAGACCACAGCTCCGAGGGGCCGTGTGCTGAGAGGACATGAAAGGAAAAGCAAGCTGACAGTGATGGTCGACCTGGCATGGGGGGGGGGGGGGGGGGGCACTCGGCACAAAACGTGAGAAGAAATCCATTTGCTGGCACGGCGGCGTCAATCCCTCACTGCTAAGAAGGGTTGAGTCAGGGCAGGGAGGGAGCCGGCGAAAACTGCACTGATCTGCAGCTCGTGTCTTGACAGCCCCTTTTTCACGGCAGACACTGGCCATGAACGTACGGAGATAAACGATGAAGGGGAGACAGAAAAATGGACAACAAAAGCTGTGGAGTAGAAGCATCCTTCCAAATTGACATAAAAATTCACTCGGAGTTCACTCACCGATTGCTGCACAGCAAAAGTTTGGGATAGGCTTATATAATAGATGCTCAGTGCAACTCCCTAGACAACCCGCTTCAGACCTGCAGAATATTCCAGCTCCTGCTGCATTCAGTTCTCAGCTGAATTGTCAATGAAATGGCAGGAAGAGGAAATGTTCTACCAAAAGCGGGAACGTAGAAAGGATCAGAAGTGCAATGACATCCATGCAGAGAGAAGGTCACCCCTAGGAACCGGCCAAGCAGTAACACCTGGGACCGATGAATACACCGGTCCCTCTTGAGGATTACAGCAGATGCGGACCGGAGTGTCTCTGGATCATGGGGCTTGGTCCCTGCAGGTTGCATGGTCAGGGAGCATCGCCTTACGTCCATGTGCTCTTCCCTTGACTCACCGAACGTGGTTTGTGATCCTGGAAACGAAAACAGCCACCATGGAGCCTTCAGCTTCCGCTAAACCTCATAATTATTTTGCTCTTTAGCAAACTTAGGTTCTTCAACTTGGAATCCTACATTCACCTTCCTATAAGTCTCTAATTGTAATCCTAGAATAAACTATGAAAGAAAAGATTTGGCAGATGACCATAATGCCCAGACTACATATTTTGGCTCAATTGAAATCTGAATATTCCGTGTGGAAAGAAGGGAAAATATATATTGTTATTTCCTGAAACTTGCGCAAAGCCAGGCAGTTTGGTTGAAGACAAGCATGGTTGCCACCTGCATTCATTTTTCACAGTGTGCCTATTCATCTAATGCAATGTCACAGTGAGACTGAAGCTTATCCCAATTTGCACAGGATAGGGGGGACAGAGAGACCACGACCTAATCAAAATAACGCAAGATTTTGCGCCCGCTTTCTGCTCATAGGAGCAATGTTTATTAAATGAGGCGTGGCCGGGCACTTTGGCGCATTGCTATATTAATGCAGCGCAATAACATTGCGCTTTTGACCAACAAAAACTATGTAGGCTATGACGTCAATGACACATTGTTAAATGGTATTTAAGCAGCGCGATTTAGAACGTGTGGGTGCATGGCGCTCGATCGTTACGGACAACGTATAAAAGCGACACTAATAGTTTTTTGTTAATTTTATTTCATTTATATACATTTTATTATAGAGTACATCTGGTCCTTTCCCCTAATCATACTGTGTAATGAAACACCAATGTAGATTTATAAGCAATGAATAAACAATATCATCAAAATAATCTTTCGAACTCATTATCAGAATTAATCACGTACTATAATTGAAAGGACATTTGGATTGCTATAAATGTGTTTCAGATATCGATAGTGAAAGTAGAAAAACAACAGCCCTATTGCCGGCAATAAAGGCCTATTATTTGAACATTTTAAAACATTTTTAAAACTGTAGATTGTGTTTTGTTTGAACAAAGATCACTTTTTCAAATTTTGCGAACTCCAGATCCAAAATTAAAATATAAACGCACACACATAACGGAGTCCCTGCTCGTTCTGTAGCGATCGAGCTTCCCCATCTTCTGACGTCTTTAAACCGCTTTCGGCTACACGCGGCTGATCTGTTGATGCCAGAAAACGAGGAGTCGCCTGCTGCTACCTCATCCCACGCCCGCTTCCCTCGATAGGCTTGGTGGAACAGTGGTGCTCCCGTAGACGACGTGCTCACGCTTTCTCACCTCACGCACAAGCCGAAAGCGATCTGGCTTACCGGGCAAACACACCATTGTAATAGCAATCCGCAGTACATCATGGGCCGCTGCCTTTTATAGGTGAGGTGACGTGCCATTCCGTTTGATTCATTGCAGGTTACACTCAAACACGCCTCTGACTAATTAAGGGAGGACAGCCTTCTTCTGGCGCAAAGCCTGTTTTTCCGCGTTCGAATAGCAAAATGGGTTTGGACACGCCCATAAATGTTAGTTGCGCCTTGCGCTTTACGCTCTGCGCTAGATGTCAGTATAGAGTCACAGGAGTCCACTTAGAAGCTATTCTGGGTGGTGTGTGACCACAGTACAAAACACTCAGTGTCTTTGCCGATCCCAAATAAAACTTGGACTATACTTTTGACCATCAAATCTCACAAAACAACTGATTTGTAAGATAGATGAATTAGTTATCCATTTGTTATCTAGTTCTAGTAATGTATTTAAATCATTAAATGTTCCTAAATCAGGATTTTGCTATTTTGGTTACACAAAAAAAATGATTTGATAAATTCTGGTAAGTTTGACCACAGACTAACTTATCACACCGACTCCAGCGGTTTTACAAAAAAATGAAGGCACTCAACACTTGCTGACAAAAGCATTTTTACTGAATACCAAAAAAACAGTTTTGCATTATTAGATTTGGTCAAGCAAACAGACTGCACAGAACTTAATAAACTGGATATACACCATGTTGCCTTTCATTTAGTCATGGGATGCAAAGGTTCAGTGTGACTGCTCTTGATAGTAATAATAATAATACCCAGTGAAGGCATTTAAGGTTCAGCTTGTCTTAAAGCCATGTGCAAATGCCGAGAGCCTGAGAACTGAAGCAGGTAGATTCAAGTTTAGATACAAGTATATTACTTCTACAGTCCATTCATTCCACAGAATGAATGGGAGTGAGACAGATTTCTATGAACAGATTTTCTAGATCTTCCGCACTTTTTCTTATTTGTTTATGTCCAGCATAGGCATGCAGGACTGACACAGAACTGCAGCAGATGGCAAAGGCCACTCTGGGAAGCCATTAACTAAGATTATCAGGGTTCCCTGGACCGGAAACGGTTACATAATGCACCAGTCGAGAGTAAACAAGGCATTATGGCGTCCATTTGCAGATGGAGGGCTGTAAGTGAAGTTCAGTAAGTTTGGGGGTGTTGAAACGGACGAGCTTATGCCTGTCCTGCCAATCATCTAAAGCAGCATGGATATGGTCATAACCAGGCCAGAATTTATGGGGCTAGGGGCCTTACATAAAATGCTGCAGTAACTACTTGGAAAAAAAATTGACTCATGGGAATTTTATTTACACAAAAATGTTCTGAGGGCAGAACGAAGAATGGTTAGTAGAGAGGTAACAAATCAGATTGTAGAGGAGGTGGGGCCAAGCAACAAGAGGAGGCAGGAACAACCAATCAGATGTCTTGGCCCTGCCCCCGGCTGTTGCTTGGGCCCTCCTCCTCTATAATCTGGTCAGCCAGAGCGAATGTCGCGGTGATAGGACTGCATGCCAGTCCGTCTGAGATATCTTGGCAGGATTCCCCCGGGCGGACGACGGCCAGACAGACAGCCCGGTGCCATACTTAAACAATACTTCATCACCATGGCCAGTCCGCCAGCTATCTAGCACATGGGGTTGGAGGGAGCTGCCAGATCTGTGTTATGACAGCAAGCTGCTAGTATAGGAAACAATGTTTTCAAGTAGGCTAGAGAAATCAGTGTTGACACCCACTTAGCAAACCATTTTCAGTCACGTATCCCCACCACCAAACCTGCCTTTTATGATTTCATTACCACTTAGACTCAGGTCAAGCAATTGCTGGAACTAAGCATCTATCACCTAAACCAGTTTTCCTAACCCGGTCCTCTGGGAACCCCAGACAAGGAGGGAGCACATATGTATACTGGCTGGCAGGAACCTGGAACCATCCATGGGTCCCCAAAAACCGGGGTTAGGAAGCACTGACCTAAAGCCCATTTCATTTTGCCCAGCTGACCCCGTTTAAATGCTGGCAAAGTTCAGTCCACGTCAGCTGGGCTTCATTCCCTGACACATGTGCAGGAATAGGGATCGTGATGAGTTTTGATCTCCAGCCTCCCACCAGCTCACGGCTGTTTTATTTTCTCACCCCCCCCATTTCTTTAGCTCAGATTAATGTGCGGGATTCTGCGAAGGAGGTTGTACACCGAGGTGACCTTTTGTACAGAACCACCCCGTCGTCAGCAGAAGACTTCTGGTGGAGACACACCAGGGACCCAGCTGGTAGAAGGTGCCGTCCGAGGTGCTGAACTGTATTTCATGCAGTCGATACAGATCCCACAGAACCGCAAGACGGCAACCAGCTGCATACTGATTTTACGTCTAAACCAGTGTTTCTCCAAACCAGTCCTGTTTCAGATCTGGGGTTCCCCGAGGACTGGTTTGGAGAAACACTGGTTTAAATAACTGGGAAGTAGCAAACAGACAGCATCCTTTCATATTACAGGAAACCCCAGTTCTCCGTGATAAAGCAGGACCACACTTGCATCTAAGCATCATCTAAACACCCACCCCTCCCATCTCAAACCGTTTATCCCGGTCAGGGTCATGAGGGGGCCTGGAGCCTATCCCAGGCAGCATGGGGGACAAAGTTAGAGTATTCTCTAGATGGGACAATGATGATGATGATGATAAAATGCTACTATTAAAAGCTGGCTTCTGTTCTGAAGGACGAGTAACAACCGTAAAATTCAAGTCTGCATGCATTAACTCCATCATTGGGTTTATACATTTTATACACCCATGTCTCGTTCCCCTCGTCTACAGTTTCACCTCTCCTATGTAGCTCCTTATACTCCAAGTCTGGTGGTCCCACTCATTCTGCTATGAAACCCGCGTAACAAATGCATGCAGAAATCCTAAACGTCCCCATAGGCCCAGTGTCCATATGTAGTCTATTGGAATCCCATAGTCTTCAGCCAAAAACTGAACAGATGGATAAATTTGTCTGTGCACGGTTCACCAAACAATATCCTCCATGCCGTGCCACTCTATACAATATGCAAAAACAAGCAGTCCCCATCATTCACAGGCCTGTATTCAGCTAATCTATTCCTTTTTCCTTCCGTTTAACCGTTGATTAACCATCATCCAGGTGGGGGCTACACAGTGGTGGTGGTTTAAGTGGTTCCCCATTGGTTCTGTAAAGCACTTTGGGTGTCTTGGAAAGCATTGTACAAATGTAACTGTCATTCATTCGCGTCACTTACACTTTTATCATCTGATATTTTGTGCTCTCTTACGTTACTTCGTAAAATCTATCGGCTAAATGTTTTTAATAGCCTATCCTTCATTCTGGGTAATGCTAGTGAGGGCATCCGGGTCACAATTCAGCATGGCTTTTATATTTTTGCCGATGAGGCAAATTAAAACTCACCAGCACTGGAAAGGAGGAGCAGATAGCAGGGACTCGCCCATAATTGAGCCCCGCTTGAATGATCCAGCCACAGAAAGAAGGTTCTGGAACAAAAGGCGAACATCTGTGGCCCATTAGGGGAAGGAAAGCTGAATAATGAACTCGTAAAGCCACTTAAATGTGATATTAAATTAAAACGGCGGAACTGAAATATGAACGTGCCGAAATACCTATCCAGACACAGAGTGGGATCGTGTTCTGTAATTTCAGGGATTGCATAAGCACACATTCTCACCTACCAATAGCTGGTGTATCAAAACACCACACCAATGTACAATGCCATCTAAAGGCATCTGTACTGTACCGACTCTGAATGTATCCCGTTTGCACAACGCCATTTTACACTACATTCACTATAGTGGTACAGTTTGCACAGTTGTTTTATTATTTGTATTACTAATTTTCCTTCTCCTATTCTTTTCACCTATTTTACCTTTTTTATATTTATTTCTACTGGAAGGCTCCTTGCTGTAGTTCATTCTGTGCTGCGGGGCAATGGAATTTCCCCCCATAGGGATCAATGAAGTTCCTCTTCTCTTACCTATTCCAGAATGGATGTTGGATGAGCAAGAGAGAACAGCCACACCACATATATTGGTCTGGGAAAGAAAATATTTCAACCAGCCCCCCCCCCCCCCCCATGTGAGACGGCAGGCTTGACCTTGCTAACTTGCCGCATTGTAAACAGCACTCAGACGGACAGCGAGTTACGCAACTCACAGAACATATAACGAAGGGAATATGGCCACTTGCTGGTGCTGTAATAAGCATGGAGCCCCCAGTCAACCACCCCCCCCCGTCTCCTGAATGTCGCAATAGCACTTTTGCTAAGACCTGCAATGACCCAATGCAGTTTATGCATGACTATGACCATATGACCGGCCGAACAAATTTGAATTGCGATTCACTAAATCAGACCACTTCCAAATGCAAGGAAAAGCTTAACCTTAAGCCAGCTCGAAAGAAGATTCAGTCTGTCTGACTGCCTGTTTAATATATACAAAGGGTATCAGGCTAATGCAGCCATATTATGGTGATATACAGCATGAGTTTTGTTTAGTATTTTTGGCGCTGCAGTTTCGGGCATTCAGTCACCGTGCCTTCAGAGTCAAGCCTTTGGGAGTGGGGGGAAAAATGTTTCTGGACAGAATTCATCTTTGTGCAGTATGCTTGAGAAATTGCAACTGAAGGAAAAATTTGCATCGAATCCTCACATGCAAACATTTCTGCCATTCTTGTTTATTAAATTCTATTATAGTTTAACCTTATGGGAGGAACAAATTGCACAGTCTCATAATTCACAGCCCCCAGATACATTGTCCAAAATCAGTGTAACTTCAAAGTGTAATTTTTAAACTGTAATACCCTTAACTAGCATAAGGCCAATGATTTCGACATTGTACTTCCTTCTGATAAAAATATTGCATGATCAATTTTATATTATTGCTGTGCTGAACTGAGTAAATTCAAGCAAAATATTATTCATATTCAAAGCTTAAGTGCATTGTGTGTTTAAACAATTACAGCAATTTTGTTGATCACGAGTAGCACATTTAAAATCATCTGGATGTTATATTCCCAAACATTGCTGTATTTAATATTTTTTTTCCCACCTTCTCTGACTTTCTGTGCAGTATTACAGCAACTCCAAATGGAGTAGGCCTCCCTAACAATGCCCCCTGGTGACCACAGTTGGAACTGTGACTTTGGCGTTCATTCAAAAGAAAGCAAGCGTCCGATTGCAGAAATGTTCCTTCGGACGATTTGTTGACCAGAACACGAGGCTCATCGCAGTGCTTTCCAAGCTCCACAATCCCACGTAGGTTCTTTGATCTTCTGCAGTCTGATAAAGTCAGACGTGAGTACCAGACAAAGGCTCTGCAAAACATCGATGTGCAGAGGAATAAATTCTTACACAGCTATTCAGAGCATCATCCAGTGCCAATTAAACAATGAAACAGTTCTGTGAGACGAAAAGGAAATATTTCACATACACAGAATGTAGACACAGGGTGGTCAAGGGCGAGGCTGCAGATACTGTATAGCACCAGATTTCTCCAGCCTCTTTAGTGCCTGGGCTTCATGAGACAGATCGTGGTAGGAATTCTGAATAACAAAAACAGCAGAATCTCACCCCGGTTTTACTTACACTTTCTTTTTTTTTTTAACAACCTGTATTTCACTGTGTTACAAATAACAACTAATAATAAACTTAATCATCATCATGAGGAAACCTGGTAGCAGATCAAACATACACTGATCTACCAATCAAATCACTGCTCTGTTTACGTCAGTCGAAAGGTTGTGAACTCAAAGTCATATTCCAATCTGTTTAATGAGGGTGGTCTTGGAGGTTGAGGACACCCTAATAAGCCATAGCAGCCCCCCAAGATTTATATTAAATAAGTATTAAATGAAATCATCAACACAGCGGTTGTACCTTCATGGCTGTCATTGTGTCCGATCCGTAGTAGTGTATTGGGTGCTTCTGGTTCTTGGAGAGGGGATACCCAAAGCCTGTTATGTGAACGACATCGCAGTAGCTCAACGCCATATATATAGCTAGTATCCCTGTCGTGGGGTGGATGGATCTCTGTGGGCAGAGAGAGAATGATGCATTGACAAAATGTTATACCGTTTTCCGCCAGCAGGTGGCGGCTCACATCTTCCACAGACACGCCGAGAGCCTCGCAGAGCCGGCCTCTCCCAGCATTCTTCTTAAAGGAATGAAGTGAGAGAGAAAAATGGAGGCAGCAAGATTTTCCTCCACACCGTTGTTCATCTGTCAATGAGACAATACCTTAGGTTTGCCTGAGAACTTCACCTGTTTATAAAAATAACTTTACAAGCTTTCCATGAGGCCGTACGCTTTGGTTCTGTGCCTCACGGCCTACCGATACCAGCCCAGCAATGCCAGGAAGCGAATGTTTTCTCTGGAAAAGTTAAACAGCATCGACTCAGAATGCCTTAGCAACGCTTAAAGTCCATTCGTCAGAGAGCTCTGGGCTCTTTTTTAAGTATTTAAATGCATCAGCACGTTTCTCAGACTCAGGTAGCACGTGGAGTGGAATAATGATCCAGTTCTTTGCGGGATCCTGCCACGGAAATACCAGCAAGGTACCATTAGCCCGCCTGATCGGAACACCAGCCTGCTACTCAGCAGATGCGAAAATTACATCCAGCTCCGTCCAGCCCCCTTTTTTTGTGGGGAGAATCGGAGCAGCTCTCTTCCATGTGTGGGAAAGAAACTCTTGTGTTTCTCGAGGAACCCGACGGCTCAGTCAGCTGTCTGGCCCGAATTTCATGCTACAGAGCAGAGAGAAGAAGAAGAAGAGAAAAAAAACACCCCAGCCAGCCTTAATGCCTTTTCCACTATTACTTGCTTTTAAATTTCACATTTAACTCACGCAGCATTAAGTGGCATTTTTTCCCCAGCACTGCCAGGATAAATCTAAAGCTTTGGCTGATGGTCGGCCTGCACTAATTGGATGGGGGGGAGCGGTAAGAGTTGTAGCCGGGGTGGGGGCCTGTTTGGCCCTTTCAGCAGGGGCTGCTGTGTCTAAGGAGGTGGGGCAAGGCCAGGTACCGCTCGGTCCATGCCGATGCCAGTTCTGAGCCCCCCCCCCTCAACCCCGAAATCAGACCCTCCCACCACAGAAACTCGGCATGCTTCTGCTACCAGACTCCCTGGGTAAACAGGGGGCTGCTGCCAAGTCTGAAGTCATCTGGCGGGAAAAGCAGCGCGAGATTCCCAGCATGCAGCTGTGCTAATTGCTCAGAAGGCCCACGTCACCAGTCTTGGTTCTTTTCAGACTCGGGCTAAGAGGCACGTAAAACAAAAGAATAGTCGTTGTGCAGTGACCGGGGCATATTGCAGTTCTGCTGCAGGCCTTTGCCCTCAACAGAATACAGCGTCATGTTTTAAGAGTCAGGAGCATCCAAAGTTACGTCTCCTGAAGAACTACAAGTCTGTGGGGTGATTAGTTATGACTGACAACAAAAGCACAGGGTTTGGTGTGGGGGGGGCTGAGGGGGGGGGGGGCTGAGGGGATCACCCACCTGACTCCACTTTGGCAGGAGGGGGATCTTCAGCAGCTTGCTTGCTGTCTCCTTTAAGAAGTAAGGATCCAGGATGCGAATATGGCTGCTTTTGCCTTGCCATATCTGGGGGGGGGGCTTCCAGAAGCCTTTCCTCACCTGGAAAAATAAGAAGGGCGTCAGATCCCACCACAGAACATCCCCAAGCATCTCCACAGCAACATGATCTCCGCAGCCAGGTTCTTATTTAGTGGGACTGGGGAAAATGGCAGGATTTGGCCCAAGTGAAACTTAAGGCGTGCACAGACTGTCCCAAACTCCCCACTACATCATGCGGGCGAGATGCCCCATGCATTGTAATGCGACCCAGGTAAAGGATTTCTCAGTCGTTAATTTTTAACAGGAGCTATTCACGGACATGGGGCCCGAATGGAGGCAGCCGTCACGGGAGCAGCACGTGTCATCGTGTCATACCCTCTTCTCGTCGTAGAGGATCTCCTTGAGCCATCGCAAGTCGTTCTGCTTGAAAGGAACAAGTACCATCAGGGTATCGGGGTTATTGTGAAGGGCGGGTTCGTGGGAGGCCGACTCGGGGTAGAAGAGACGCAGCGTTGTCTTACTGCCCACGTCGGCCTCGTACCCCCTGACGGGGGCGTCGTTCAATCTGCGATTGGACGAGACAAAGATCGGATGTCAGCCAGCGCCGCCATTTTGGTACCGCTGCAGATTCACAACCCCCATCACACCCAGCAACTGAATAACCAGCCCAGAGAGAACTGTCATTTTTATTACCGTTACACGGAGAATAGGTCACACGGTCCAGACAGCTTCAGTATACAGTAAACGCTTCATATCTCTTCTACAATTAACACGTATTGGGATGTCAAAGTCCTTCAGAGACCGCACGAAGGCACAATCCCAGATAAGGAGAAATTCAAATGCCAAACCGCATCCAAATCTGAGTGAACTGGCAATAAGGAGCCTTTAACAAAACCAACTCGTACCTCTCAATGGGCCATTTTAATGAAGCACCTGAAACTGTACAAAGAGGTGCTCCTCCCAGCCTAATTTTTTTAAGAATTCCCAGGAAGAAAGCACTTAATGTTCATTTCCTTTTTTTTAACTGTGTTTTCATCTGGTTGCTATTTAGTCTCACAGTAGCAAGTCTCATTACCAGTCCCAGGCACCCCACCCAAAACAACAACTAAAGGAAAGGCACCATTTCAGCCCAAACTGGAGGGACAGAATTCACTATAACTTTCAGACAGCACAATTTACATAAACAGCATTTAAAGTACCTGATTACAACATCATACGTGTCTATAATAGATCCAAATGAGCTGTTTTTGATCGTGTATCCATTACCGACAACAATGCAGGTCCTGCAGTCCAGCCTGAAGAAGGGACAACAGAAACATTCATTAGAATTTTCAGCTAGATAATAAACAATTATTTTGTTTCGTTACGAGTTCACTTAACTGACCTATGGCAGTAACCACCATTTTTACTCACTTGCTGATGCTCTCTGGCATTTCATAACTGGCAGTTACTGCTAAGACCTTAAGGAGTAGGAACTCTGTAGCGGAGACACAGATAAGCAGCTTCAGGCATTTCAAAACCTTTCATGACAACATCAGCAATGACGTTTGTTACCCTGAATTTCTGGAATTATATGTTTCGGGTGGATCAAGGATTTTCAGTAATTGATTTTCATGAGATAATATATTATTATTATTATTATTATTATTATATTGCAAACAAAATTGCAGACAGTACCTGGGAATTTACGTTATCCAATGAAAATAAACAGGACTTACCACTGCCCTTCATGCCGTAGGGTAACGACAGAGGCGATGATCTTTCATGCCAAAAGTAATCTTCCAGTTTCAAAAACAGTGTGCTATTGCGGGTGATGCTGTTTAATATTCAATTATAAAAGGGGGGAAAAAATTATTCATACAAATTCTACCCAAGCTATTTTCATGAATGAAATGTGTGTAAAACATCCACAATGAGTTTTTTTTTTTTTAAAGAAAAAAAGGAGTAGGAATTATGCTTTGTTAAAGTTACACATGATAACATCCAGTCAACTAATTGCTGAAATCAGATTTTAATACTCACTTGAAGTCAAGTCCTACCCATTTCTTTGACAAACGGCTGCTTCCACATGGGTTGACGCTGAGAGCCACAGACTTTGCCGTCACTCCCGCACTGAAAAGGCAGACAATCAGATGAAATTACTTGACGTAATATTGGTAAGAACCTCAGCTCACGGACACGGTGAGAGCCTGAGTAGGAGCCTTACCCCTGGAAGACAAAGTATGAATAGTAGTAGTAGGAGATGACGAACAGCACCACCGGCAACAGTCTGAAACCCCATGCTGCAGGGAAGAGGAAGAGAGGAGCAAGGTTTCAGGAGGCCAAATATGTGCAGACTCTATAAACAACGAACTTCAAGCATCTCAAGGCTATAGAAATGACTGATAGCCGATAGCTTTGGTTCGACATTCCTAAAACCAGGGTATTTACAAAATTTCTATTTAAACATTCCATACTTACAACACACACATACTTTGTATTCTGCTTTACATTTGGGATCCTTAACCATCCACCTACAACATTTGGGTTTAGCAAGCAAATCCTCATTGTGGGTGTTGTAAAGTACATGATAGCCAAAATCACTATTTCTTGCTGGAGATTAATCAAGTGTGCACGTCGCAGATATTGGTTTGGAATGTTGCACTACAATGTGCATCCTATGCACATTTTGGTGCTAACAACAGCGCACATTAGTGATGTCATCAAAAAAATAAGTAAATTCATATTTTTTTGGAATACATTTTCCTAGGTCAATCTGTTGCAGTAGTCTGGAAACACCAAAATATTTTCTTTTTCCATATTTATTCAGAAGTCAAAAACACCAAATTAAAAAAAAACCCTGTAAAACTGCTTCCTATGAAAAGTATTCTGATGTTATTATGTCTGATATCTGATGTTTCTGTTAATATTACAGCTGCAATAATCATAAACAGCACGGCCAGTGTTCACTGTGAAACAGAAATGGGACCGTGAAAAACACAAACAGATACCAGTAACGACATCTGTGTCATTTCTGAATGAAATAAGATTCAACACAAGAAACAGTGAATAACCAGAGGAACTGTGTTTTGCCCCATATTATTCAATATTCGCTGTCACATGACTCAGATCTTATGGAAAATTTGCCGAAGTACTTCCCGTTTGGCCAGAACTCCTGGCAAAATAATCTTCAGCAGGGCATCTGTGGACCCAGATAATGGTATATGTTGTTTGGCCTGTGTAGAGCTTATATTTAATTAAGGAGTAAGGGTGAGACTTTGATAAACCTTTAAAAAAACCATTTGTTTACCGTCTGAATCATCACTGGGATTTTACAGTGTTACAGCTTGGCCCTTAAACATACGGACTCAGCAAGTCTCCTGCTTTATATATGCATGACTCAAACATATGAATCCCTTAACTGCAAATAGGCACATAATGTGTGTGGTCTTTCAAAGTAATGTCAGAATAAGTCAAAAGAACATTAATCAACTGCATCTTTTCAAGATATTCACTATTATAGAGATAAATGTCCCTGTGTTCAAGTACAGGCCATAGGATACTGATTTTGAAGTTTTTGCCTATGACTAAGTAGTAATAAATAAATAATATTAATAATTTATGGCTATTGTGATTTCCTTAACAATGATTCTGGCTTATGAGATACAGTGGTACCTCAGTTCTCGATCTCATTAGAACTGAAATTTCTTAAAAGTCGAACAAAACAGTTCGAAAAAAAAATGACCTAGAACTCAGTCTGAATCTCAGAAGTCGAACCATGAACGCCAACCTAAGATAACTTGTACGTGCGGGGAAATGAGTCACGCGGCACGACTCTCAGCGGAAACAAAGGGTAACGCTTCAGTATCAGCCTCACATTTGCTGTGATAGCATCGTGCATGTATACACTGGCTGAATACATATATTTAGACAGTAAAAATACATTTAGACAATGACAGACAGTAACAGTAATTATTATTATATAATAAAATACATTTTAAAATAAAGATTTCTTATTAATTATTTAATATCATTAATAATAAACCATTAATACATTTAATTATAATAATATTGTCGTGCCGAGCGGGGACGGAACGGGGACAAAGGTGCAGACGTCAGGGTATCGGGGAATATGGGGTTTAATTACAGGTAAGGCAGGCAAAACGCAGACGGACAGTACAATAACCGGACTGGGGAAACAAACTGAAACACGGATAAAATACATAGGACTAATGACAACAACCAGAAACAGCTGATCACACGGGGATTCCACACGAGGTTAACGAGGGGGGCGTGGCATACAGGAGGAGTGGACGATCGGGGCAGGACACATTGTTTTTTTTTAACTTTACACATTGTTTGGATACATTTATTTTACTTTACAAATGACTGTTTTGATAAATGTGCTTAGATGTGTTTACTTATGCTCTTCTAGTTTTATCCTGTTTATTTTGTGTTTAAATGCTAAAAAAACATATTTAGGTGTCATTTTTTGGGGCCGGGAACCAATTAATTGTTTTTCCATTATTTCTTATGGGGAAAATTTGATCAGAACTCAAACTTTTTAGGATTTGAACCTGAGTTCTGAACGGATTAAGTTCGAGTACTGAGGTACTGTACCACTGTAGCTGTGAAGCATCCAGAACATACAGTAAATAAGCCAATGTAGCATTTACATAAACTTACTTTTTGCAAGTGCCATCGACATCTTCACATAAGCCTTAGTCTTTTCATCTCTGGACTGTAAATATCACCATCATCCCTGTAAAGGAAAAGGGAAAGACCACATGCTCAGTCCCACCAGGGCCAGCGATAAGCTGCTCAAGATATCAGCCTACAGGGAGTCATTAGTTAGCCCCACCCCCTGTCCAAGAAGAAGTTTACATGTGCAAATTCCAGAATTAAATCGATTCACTTCAAAACTGTTATTCATCAAAAAAAAGCAAGCGTCGTGTACTCCACTATCATTGACTCTGGTCTGTTTCCGTCTCTAAACTTCCATCCTGAAACTGCTGGCCTAGAATTGCGGTGACATATGGTGGTAAGGCTCTACAAATGCATGATACTGGACATTTGTTGTATTGTATTTTTAATGACTGTATATAGCATGGTAATGAGCATGACAATTCAGGCCAAGGTACTGTATAGAGGAACTCAAAAATTAAAGAAAAACAGCTAAACTGCAATATACTGTGAACATTTTATTTCATTACACAATGCAAACGTTTATCATTTTCCAGTCAATTTCCTTCCTCCCCAATTTCCTCTTACAAGAACCAAAACATAGCATTTTGTTTTCTCAGATAACAGGAACCCAAAGCCTAAAACCAAAAAGCTAATAAAGATTATTGCTCCGTACCGCCTTCTCAGCCGTACAGGTTTGCTGGCAGTTTCATTCTTAGCAGATTACCGAAAAGTTACGAAGTGTAAGGAGGAAACATTCAGCAAACCAAAGAGCAATCACTCCTGGACATCAGGCTTGACTCCAATTATGAAATAATCATCTCCTGTAAACTGAGAGGCTGACTGCTCCCTTTCAAGAGATGACCGCCGGCCTAGAACTGGCATGGTGAGCATCTATTCCATCATACAGTCTTGTTTTTTTTACTTACATTGAATGGAATTCAAATAAAAAGATGTAAGGGGGCTGAACGTTTCATATCAAACACAGCCTGAAACATTGAATCATTTAAATATGGTAAAAATGACATGTTCTCACAACCTTGTACTGTTAAAGAGCTTAGAAAATGATGGGATGCACATTTTACCAGGAATACATGAAGTAGAATTTAAAAATAGTATTTATAATGATCGCATTCAAATGTACAAATCGCAAGATGGCGGCGTGCACAGATGCAGCAGCTTGACTTTCCAGCAACGCTAGGTTTAGACGTGCGAATCCCACCTACAGCCGCCAAGATCTGCGAACAGCAGGAATATATACGATACCTTGATTTCGATACCGGTTCCTGAACAATACATTTTTCGAAACAACAACAACAACAAAAATACATTAAACATTACAGCACTAATCTTATTCGAATAAGTCGTTTTGTTAGTTACTCGTTAGTTACTAATCACGATCATAACGGGACACAGCCTTTTATTTACATTTTACCAGGGCTCTCAAGTTTCATCCAAGGTTTGGAGTGAGATTACACGTGTTAGGGCCAAAGCCTGTGTCTCTTTTTAGAGCCCTGTCTACCGCATTCATCGGATTACGCACTCCGTATATCTTCACACCCATGTAATAATGTGCTTACAGCGAAATCACAAGCAACACGCGTTATTTTTTTGATTGGCTGGTAGGGGGGGGACACTCTGTATGCCTGCTTATGATGCTATATAACGGATACCTTGCTGGATGTTATCTCTTACTTCTCAGTGTGAGAAACAGAAGGTGTGGCGTGTGAACTGGTTGAAATCCATGTGTCTCACGGTCAGGTAAGGGTTTTAGGGGTTTTTGGGGGGGTTAAGGTTAGGGTTAGGGTTAGGGTAAGAGTTAGGGTTAGGGTTATCGATTAGAACTACGGTAGCCTAACTCGACAAAGAACATAAGAACATAAGAACTATACAAACGAGAGGAGGCCATTCAGCCTATCAAGCTCGCTTGCGGAGAACTTAACTAATAGCTCAGAGTTGTTAAAATCTTATCTAGCTTTTAACAGGAAGACTATTCCATACTCTGACTACACGCTGTGTAAAGAAGTGCTTCCTTAAATCCAGTTTGAAATGTTCTCCCGCTAATTTCCACC